TTTTAATTAGACATTTACTGTATTATATAATAAATACATTCATTTATCATGAAATCAAATGAATTTTGTTTAAAAGTATAAACTATTACGAGCGCATATTTATATATGTACGTATGTATGTTACATGTACGTATATATGTATGTACGTACATATGTATGTTACATACTATCATACATAAATACATTTATATATACATACATAAAGTATGTAGCATACTTTAAGCATAAGATAATTGTTTCTTACTTGTCTGTTTATGTATTACAGACACACACACACACACACACACACAATATATATATATATATATATATATATATATATATATATATATATATATATATATATATATATATATATATATATATATATATATATATATACATATATATATATTTATATATATATATATATACATATATATATATATATATATATATATATATATATATATATATATATATATATATATATATATATATATATATATATATATATATATATACACATATATATATATATATATATATATATATATATATATATATATATATATATATATATATATATATATGTATATATATATATATATATATATATGTATATATATGTATATATATATATATATATATATATATATATATATATATATATATATATATATATATATATATATATATATATATATATATATATATATATATATATATATATATATATATATATATATATATATATATATGTGTGTATATATATACATACATATATATTTCTCGGCTTTACAAATTTTCATAAGTAAATTTTTACATTTGAAGAACACAATTGTCTTTTTTATTAGTTTTTATGTATATTTTTCAACAATTTTCAAAAGATTTTGTTATGTATTGAAACTCATCTATTTATTTAAAAACTGTTATAATTATTAATGATAAAAAATTATATATCATTTAATCTTAGTATTTTTTCACTGTTACCAATAGTTTATTTTAAAAGCTTATAAATGAACCTATAAGTTGGGGATATTTTAAGTAAATTCACAACTAAAAATAAATAAATTGTTATTTTATGTGCTTATATTAATTTACAAATAATATGTTTTACAAAAATGGTGTTACATTAATTAACTCGATGGTTATAATGTTTTTAAGTACCTTTCTACAACTTTTTTTTTTAATTAATCTTCTGTTAATATAAGTGTTTTTTCTTTTATAGATACGTTTTTTTTTTCTAACTCCACTAACTCCTTTTTAGAAATAATGTACTCTCTTTAAGCTTGTAGCGTTAGCACTTCTTCCCTAAATTTAAATTTCTCCTCAGTTAAGTAAGTCTCCATATTAACAGTTGGCAGGTGGAGAGCTGGTAGGAGTTGTTTTTTTTTCGAGACAAATTTTAGTCGTTTTTTAATAAATCATCATCATGCACAGTAGATCGTTTAGTTTGTCCTGAGATGTCTTTGTTTCCATTTTCTGATGTAATTGCAGTGTGTTATATTGTACAACTTGCACCATCAATCACAACTGGATTAACAGTTTATATAGCAAACAAAATCGATGCTATCGGTTTCCACCCCTTCCAAACCAAAAAAAATTAGAGAGTTTTCTCCGTATATATCCAATATTTTCTGGCTGATTTCTGTTAAAATTACTGCAGGTCCTTCCCCCGTCGGAGTTTTTTTTGTTGATGAAATCTCTTTTTTGGCATTTTTAAGAAGATTATCCCACAAACCTTTCACACTGGTAACTATGGTAAACGTTCTTTTATCAAATCCTAAGCTGCTTATAGCATCGGTGATCTAAATTACACATAAGTTCCAAAATTTATAATGCTGCCTAAACTAATTTTTATATTCAATATATAAAATTTAAAGGATTACCTCATTCCATTTACGATTTCTTCGTTTATTTATCTCCACCTTTCCATCTTTAGACAAAAGAACATCTTTATGTTCTTCAAACTTTGAAATTACCAGCCATTTCTCTTCTGAGACGTTTTTTCTCAACTTTCATAATTGATACTGCCATTGTTTTAAAAAAACTTCTAAATTATAATCTGTATTTAATATACTAATAACTTATATATAGGATACTAATAATTTTATGATCAAAATAAATATTTTTAAACTGTATGTAATAAATTTGTAATGTCATTAAAATAAAGTATTAAGTGTCTTATGCTTTAGTCTAGACTTATTTTTAATGAATAGTAAAACATTTTAAAGATTGCCTAGGGTAACATGTGTTAATTACTATGATGGTATTTGTGAAACATTGCCAGGAAATTATTTTTTGTAACGAGTTTGCGTCGCAGGTTATTGTTTGTCGCAATAACACGCATATGGTCTAATAAAGATAAAATTGAAAGTTAAAAGAATAGAAAATATTCAATGACAATGTCTTGACTCGTTTGTATGCATTTAGTTTTCGCAGAAGTAAGATGTCAAGAAATAGCAGTCCGGCGAGGTCTTAGACGTGAACGGTTATTTAGAGACCGAACCAACCCACTTAATATTTATGATGATGTTGACTTATATCAAAGGTTTAGGTTTCGTCGAGCTTCTATTTTCTGATTGGAAAATTAGCTGAAAACAGATTTACAACCAAAGTCAAATCAAAGTTTTTGTGTTCCGTTAATCTATCAAGTATTATGCGCACTTTAATTTTATGCAACAGGATCTTTCGAGATTGTGATTGGTGATTCTACAGCAGCTTTAAGTCAACCAACTATTTCTAGATTTATTTACCGAGTTACTTTGAGTCTTGCAAAAAGAGTTAATGAATACATTAAGTACCCAACTGATTAAATGAGAGTAGAATAAGTTTTTAGAATGTGGCAGAATTTTCAAGAATAACTGGATTAATAGAAGGTGCGCACATTTGCATAAAAAAACCACGCGAGCACGAATATATTTATGTCAATAGATCGTCAAATCATTCAACCAATGTCCAAACGGTGTGTGATTATAACGGAAAATTCATTGATATTGTTGCAAAATGGCCTGGAAGCACACATGACGCAAGAATTTTAAGAGAATCAAAGCTTGGTAAAAAAATGATAGATGGCACTCTTAAAGGTTTATTACTTGCTTATTCCGGATATCCATGTTTTCGTTGGTTGCTTACGCCGTATCTGAGTCCAACTATAGCAGCTCTGCGTCGATATAATATATCTTTAAGAAGTTCAAGAGTTTTATCTGAACAAGTGTTTGGATGGTGGAAAAGACGGTTTCATTTGCTTCATGGAGAGGTTCGAGTGACCCCAGAAAGAACCTACACCATAATTGCTGCGTGTGGTGTATTGCAAAATTTAGCAATAGAGTTAAATGATGTTGACATAGATGACAATCCAATTGAAAATTATAAAAATAATAATGAAGGCATAGTTGCTGAAAACAACTTTCGATTTCGTGATAATTTTGTATTGCGAAATTTTGTACAATAAGTTGTTTTAATATTTTCCATGTCATAAATTATAAAAGTTTTTTTATACTGTAATTAAAAAAACTTTTATAATTTATTTTCATGTATTTTAATTAAATTTTTAAAATTTACGTTGCAGTTATTAATAAAAAAATCAACGACTGCAATTTCCCAATTAAACAGCTTTATTGTCTGTTGGCATCGCAACGCTTAAATGCCATGAAAAAAACCGCACGAAAACTAGTTAACAGGCTCACTAATGGAGAAACTTTAACTGAAATAGTTATCGGAGTAGTTAATAAACGGAGTCTAAACGGAAGGGTTAGAATACCATTAACTTTCCTCCGTTTTATAACCGGCCGTTAAAAGTTTTTTTCTTAACGGACACTTTTTTTTTAACAATTTTCTGTTAGTTTAATGAAGAGTTGTGAATACGGCGGCTGAGTGTTAATCTTTTCAGGCTAATTATTTGGTCTAAGATTGTTTTTTCTTAAATATCTTCGCTTCCAACAAGGCTGCAAGCAACCACTAATTAGAGTTAAAAGTAACTGAAAGAGAAAAGAAGAAGATTGTAGAACAAAATAACGATTGACAGACGACTTACTTTATTAATGATAATTTCAATTTTACTTTTAAATTGTATAGTTTAAATAATGTTTGAAATGTTTTACTTCTCGTGGTTGTCTCTCATTTGCCAAATATTCTGATGCAAAAAATATTGTTCATCAGAATTAGAACAGTCTATCTCCATGAGTAAGCTGCATTTAAAACTTCAGTTTGTTAACTGTGATGTTTTTGAAACTCCAACTCAAAAACACTTTATTTTTGACAAACTTTAATGTCTTAAGAATATTATTGATTTGGAAGAAAGATTTATAAAAATTAACTCAGAGTATAGATATTAACAAAACTTGATGCGGAAAATATTTATAACATCGAATTGAAAATTATTTTACGAGTCTAAATTTATGTCCTAAATTTAATTCTCCCCGGTAGCATTTTACGTTTTATAACCTTGAACTTTGCTCAATGTTTTTATTTACGTTTTTACTTGAGTAATTATTCCTAAAACTCGGAGAAAATGCAATTGGTCATTTTTATTCACCTGGTCTAAAACTTCCAAAGACAATACATTTTATCAAAACTATTTATCAGGCATGCGTTAAACTATTTAAAAATGTCAATATTACCAATATTACGTCATAATTTACAAATCAATTTTGGCCATTTTGTGTATGCCATTAAAGCTTTAATATTGGAAAAACGATATAGCAGCAATATTGGCACGCTAATACTAATCAATTTTGTATGCTGAGATGTTTTACCATTATTGGCGCAAAATAACCTTGATACCCAATATCATACAATTATTGCATCAATATTTTTTTCTACTAAGGTAAATTATTATTTTCAAGATGTGGTATTTTTTCTTATATTCTATTATTTATCTTCCTATTTCAAATAGCAAGTTTTGTTAATTTAATTTTTATAAGTTTAACTAACTAAACAAGTTTTCTGCCGCTTCTGATCCTAGGAAAGTTAGTTTATCAATTTTCTTCCTCGCAATGAAAAAAAACACAGACACACAAGTTTAAAATGTAATTTATTAGAGCGCATGTAGCAAAGGTAAAACGAATAATTCTAATTGGAGACTTTACTTTTACTCTCGTACAATATGCATATTTGAATGGACTTCATTGCTGCAATCATTTGATCTCAAAATCTAAAAATTATTGTAAAAAAGCATTGATTTCACAAAAACATTAAATTTGAAAAAATTACTTTACAAGTTTATTGATATTAATTATAAATCTTATAATTTTTATTGCAAATTAAACTATAGGTGTTTAGAATACAAAGTGGTATATAAAATTTGAGGTATTTTATGATATTTAGTATCGAATCAAAAAAAAAGTGCTAAGGAATAATTAGAACTAAAATGATATAATACATGAAACTTTATTGATATAAAATAAAGACAAAGTTAAAAACAAATAATTGTATAAAACAACTTTCATGAAATCCCAGTCAGCACACCTAGTTTCTTTTTCGGAACTAAAACCTGTATAGTCACGGGTTCGTCACAATCCAGGCGTAAATCAAAAATACTTATATATTAGGGGCAGTTTTACTCAAGTTTAACACGTTTTTTTTGACGATTTTAACTCAAATAAATGTCGCGTGGTTTCATCAGTGGTTTTAAATTGCACACGGATGTTTATCATTATGTAATACTACATTTCCGTAACGGTAAAGGCAATAATATTTTAACTGGTATTTATGATAAATAGTAACAGTTACTTTCGCGAAAGGTTACACTTGGTTTCTGCTGAGTGTTTAAAATCTCTTAAAACAAAAAGAAAAACGCGCGCCAAAATTGTTTTCATTCCGCGAATTCGCGGAATGAAAACAATTTTGGATTTCACAACAGTTGTGGCAATTTTGGATTTCACAACAGTTGTAGCAATTAGGATTGAATATAAATGCTATGTTGAACTTTTATTTGTATAAAATATCTTCAATGGCAAGTATAATAAACATTTTATTGGTGTTAAATTATATTGACATTTAAAACATTTTAATAATTATAAACAAAGTTTTTAATACTCTAATAATTTTTATAAAATCATGAGTTTTTATAAAATGAATTGGTGAATGTTAAAAGGGCGAAAGTCTAATAATGTAAACTTTTGGAAAATTAAAGAAAACAGCATTTTCCTTCTGGATAAATTTTTTTTAATGGTTCAATATTTTTTGATTGAAAGTAAAAAACATTATCCTTTTCAAAAAAAGTTATTAAAGCATAAGCAAAAGTTTAGTATGGGGGAAAAATCCAGTTTTTTTTAGCTTCTCAAAAAATTTCATAGTTGGACTTCCGCCTTTTTTGAAATTCACCGATTTAAACAGCGTATAAAAACTTAAAAATAATAAACTTTAGGAATAATTTACAGTCCAAAGCTATTAAATCAAATTTAAATAACTTTTTCAAAAATATAGCTTATAACAAAGAAAGTCTATTCATACATGTATACATATAAAAGCCATGAAAGCAATATTAAAAGAATATTTTTTCGAAATATAATTTATAACAAAGAAAGTCTTATCATGTGTGTGCATTAATAGTACTTTCCTATTCAATCAAATTTGCAGACATTATAGCGTTTTCTTAAATTGTCATTTTTATCATTTTGATATTGTTATTTCTTTAAACTTATTTTTATAATCTTTGCTTTGACTTGATATGAAGGTATTGCGGTTTATCCTCCGCCAGCTAATTGGTTTGTGGAGGCGTCATTAGCAAGGCCCGCAAAGACAAGTTCAGCTCCCAAAGGAGTGTCATCACCTGCTATACGAACCAAGAGTAAAGTGAGTTTTGAAGAACGAAGGTATATAAGAGCGAAAGACAGAAAAAAGTTGTGCTAGAAAGATAGCATAAAGAAAGCGGACAGGAATTTCACTCGATATTAGAAGGTGCAATAGTACTGTCAGTCGACATTAGAAGGTGCAATAGTACTGTCAGTCGAACCGACAAAGACTTGATGAGTTCACTTGATGTGAAGGTATTATGGTTTATTCTCATAATGTTTAGCGTCAAAGACTTGAATGGAGTTCAATTTATATAGGTTTTGTGGTTTATTCTCCGTTAGCTAATTGCCTTGTGGAGGCCACATTACCTAGGTCCGCAAAGACTTGTTTCGGCTTCTAAAGGAACGTCATAACCCGCTCTACATATTGAGAGTAAGGCGAATTTGGAAAGAACGAATATGTGCTAGAGTGAAAGGCAGAAGTAGTCGTGTTAGAAAGATAGCATAGAGAAAACGGACGGAATTGCACACATTGTTAGAAAGTGATACTCAAACCGACAATTAAAGAGCTCACTTGTCTTAATCTTTTCCTCAACTTACTTTGTCGTAAATTTATATAGTTCAATTTATATAAACTTTCAATTTATATAAATCCTTACTCAGGGTTCAGCGTTCAATTTCAGGGTTTCAACCTCAGGGTTCAATTTCGGGGTTTTAACTTGAGCAGCCGTGGCGCAGTGGTTGGAGTTCTGGCTCAGAACCCAGAGGTCCGAGGTTCGACGCCAGCTCTAGCCCAACAAGCGACATTGGAGGCTCCCGCGGTGCTCTATGATAAGACCGAAAGGACTTCTGGGAGCACCTAAATACATACAAAAAAAAAAAAACTTTAGGTTCAGAGTTCAGTTTATATAAACTGATATTCTGGTTAATCCTCCTCCAGCTAATTGCCATATAGAGGCCGCATTACCATTACCCGCAAAGACAAGTTAACCTAACTAAAGTATGCCGATGTCATTTGATTTTTCAAATCAAGCTCTTTGATTTCAAAGAAGTGCGAAATGCAAAATCAGATTTCTGTTACATATTGTTTTACATATTGTTTTATCAAAGAAGATATGGGATATTAATGATCAAAAGTTCAAGCCAGTTCATATAAAATTTGCTATTACGATTGCTTTAAATAATTCACCATTTAGTATAACCGAGGATAATAGATTTGTTAGTTTGATTGCTTTTTTACAACAAAATGCCTATTCTCAAGTAGGCATTTTTTTTGGAGACAACACTTCCTCAATTGTATGATCAACAAAAAAAATGGTTTTTAATAAAATTTCTAAGTCGCAGTACATAAGTTTTACTTCAGATATTTGGACTTGTTTGACATCTCATGAACCAAGAAGACATATTTTAGTCAAAGATGGTGCTGCTAATATGTCACTAGGTAGTAAACCTATTATATAAAGAACATCAGTCCGTTGCACAATTCACTTATTACAGCTCGTGAATAAGGATGCAGTTTTATTCTAAATATTAGTGATAGATTTAATAGCTAAAGCACGTCGAATAGAAGACTACTTTATTTATTCATCAAAGGCATGTACAAAATTTAAGTTACTTCAACAACAACAAGATAAAAAAACACCTCTATTTTTGGTTTAAGGTGTGCCTACTCGCTTGAATAGTGCGTACTTAATGTTAGAGAGACTTCAAAAACTTAAAAGAGCAGTTCAAATGTATTTAGCTGATCATAACGAACTGCCAACGTTTGCATCAAATGGTTAGAAAATGATTGAAAATTTATTATATTTTTTAAAGCCTATTTTTGAAATTACTAATGTTATGAGTTATAAACTTTTTAGTTTTTCAACAATTGTTCTGAATATATGTACTTTTAAAAATTTTTTATCAAAAATTGATCAAAATGATAATGCAGTTCAAATAACAAAACAACTTATTGAACCTTTAAATAAGAGATTCTTTTCTCATGATAATCTCAAAATAATAAATGATGAAAGATATGTTTTACCCACCATTATTGATCCTCGCTACTAGCTCAAATTTCTTCCTGTTAATAAGAGAAAAAAAGCAAGATCAATGCTTTTAGATGCTGTAGTAAAAATCGAAGAAATATAAATGGACTTTTATCATTTGTTATTAATAGAGCTACCAGTTCCACCACCACCATTTCCAATCATGTAACGCCAAAATCCAAAAAAAAAAAGTTGATTTGGAAGAGAATGACTTTAAATCCTGCTTTTTAAAACTTGCAGAAAATGAAAGAACTTTAGGTAAGAAAATCTCTTTCTGTATATCAAAAAAGTTTTTAATAACTTAAAATATTTTTTTGATAAACAGAAAAACTTTTTATTAAGTTTTTTTTTCTAATTTTAGCTATATTGTTTATGTTGTTGATTTGCCGATTTAAATATTATAAACATTTTATTGAATGAAAGTATACAAATAAATAAATCATCTTTAGTATTTAAATTGTTTTATATACAGAACAAAATGGTGAAATAAATCCTGATCAAGTCTCCCTTGAAAAAGCAGCTCAAGTTGTTGATTTTTTTCCTAAGTCACTAGATTATAAAAGAAAAAAAGACGTTTTTAATTTTTGGATACACAAAAAGAAGTTTCCACTTCTAAAAGAGTTAGCTCTTAAATTGTAAGCACCTCCAGCATTCTCTTTTTTTCGGAGCAAATGTTTTTCGAATATGGAAATATTTACGAGAAAAAGCTATTAATACCTTAACCTTAATATGCAGAAATGTTACTAGTTATTTAATATAATGGAAATAACTTTCTAAATGAGTGATAAATTGATGTGATTGTTGTGTTGAATTTTGTTAGTATTTGAATAATAAATTTTTATTTATAATAATAACAATTTTGATTAGAAACCATTAAAATTAGATTATTTAAAAATATAAGATTTCTTGGTTTATTAAGTCTTTAAGTTTCTAAATAACTTTAACTTGAAATATCCGGTTTATCAAAAACTAAAAAATCATATTATCTGAGCAGATAATATAATTTTCCTATCAAATAATATTGATATCCGGCCCGGATATCCACCCGTATAGCATATCCGGGACTTCCCTAATTAATAGTAGAGCGTGTTTGACACGGAACCCTTGGCTGCTATGGCAAGCAATGTAATGGCGAGAAAGTATCGTAGCACTTTTTTAATAACAGATCGTGAACGAAAATGAAATCAATCGTATTTTTAATTAGTTTATGTATTTTTTTATGTATTAAACTATTATATTATTATTTAACTTAATAATTTTATTATGTAATATCAAGGTTAACAGTTTTACTTGCATTGCAACAACATCTCCTTATATTTGATATATAAAATTTATTTTCGTTTTATTAAGTTTTTTGTTTTTTTAAATAACTTTGAAGTTTAATCATAATATGTCTGTGTAGCCGAGTGGTTAGCGCGCAGACGTTTTGAGGCAGAGCGCCGTATTTCAATTTCTATCGTTGGTGCATCTTTATTTTAATTTTTGTTTCGATTTTACTAAAACACAAAATATAACACTTTTGAGAAAAGAAATTGAAATTTTGTTTTGTATTTTAAAAACAAAAATTTTTTTTAAAAAAAGAAAGCTAATTATTTGAACTTGCCTCATTTTTGAAACACTTTCAGGTGGTTTAAATAATATCTTTTTATTACGAACATAATTAAAAATTTTAATTTTTTATTTAAAATAAATTATTTTTAAAAATTTATTTTTTTTTAAATTAAAAAGTTAAAATTTCCTAATAATAAAGTAAAATATAAACTTAAAGTTTATAGCTATTTTACCATGCTTTCGTGAAACATTCTAAACCGAGTGTGCAACAATGACAGAGTTTAGATATTTATAATTGTATTTTACTTTGTATAATAGCCATTATAATAGCCATTATAATAGTATTTTACTTTGTATAATATTAGAAAAGCCAACTCAAACATTGTATGCTGATTATGCACGAGGTTTTGTAGATATGCACGCGGTATATTTTTTGGATTTCTTGAAATATTTTGGAATCTTCTAATATTATTATCATAAATTATGAAGTTATTAAATATTTTCATTTATAAATAATATGTGTTTTTTAATTTTTTATTATGTTATTAAAGTTACTAAAGTTTAATCTTTTATTGTTTTTTAACTTATTGAACCATATTCTGTTTTGTGATTGCGAGTGTTGAATATTGACACGTTAATTATATAGAAGCGAAAGATGACCTTAAAATAAATATAAATTAATAGTTTTTTAATTTTTGTTTTTTATTTGGTTTAAATAGTTTTATGTTACATGTTTTTTCGTGTTTTATATGAATCTAATAATTTAGTACAGTATTATGGTAATGATAATCAGGTTAGATTTTAAAATGTTAAATTGACTTTTAAAGAAAATTTTTATTTACTTCTTAATAGAATTTACTTTTGCATTTTTTTTTTAAGTTTCTAATCTAAAAGGTTTTTTCTACAAAATGTTTCAATTGAATAATAATAGTTTGTTAGTAAATTTATTTTTAGTGCCATAGCTTATTACATATTTTACGCTTTAAATTCTAATTTATCATCATCTTTTAAACTGATTTTGGAAAAATTTAATTTTTTCTTATATTATTGTGAAATTTTATTTCAAAAGATATATTACTAATGGTTTCATTGCTTAAAATTGGATTTATTTTTCAATTGTATTACCTGTATTTTTTTTTATACTTATGAAAACCAACTAAGTTGTACCAATCGCAGCAACAATGGCTGCTGTCTACCCTTATCTGTTAATGTTAAACATTTGTAGGTTTTATTGTTAAGTATGAAATTAAATGTCATTTAGGTATTTAAAATGTTACTTTTTTCATTTTTAGGTTATCTTATCGAGCGTTTGTATACTATTGTTATTTTAACAATAGCCCACATCTTATAGTGCTCACAGGGTATGAGCCCAGAACAAGGTATAGATTTCCTCTCATTTCATTGAAGAGGAAGATAATATTTTTGCCAAAAGTGTAATTGGTGGAGTTAGAGTTGTAAATAAATAGATAAAAAAAAATATCAATTTTTTTCTTTCTTTTTAATATAAGGAATACAAATACATTTTGTTTCTACACACCATTAAATTTTTAGTCAGCAGAACCTGCAAATTATTAAAATGATTTGCTGCTTCGACAGTGTTTATGATTCTTCATGTTTAAATAATATTTTATCGTGAGTTAAGATTTTGTGAATACTTTATATTAATATTTTTCATAAAAACTAACAACAATATCTGAATTAGGAGGTATTTAATAAGTATATATAATAAGTTCGTAATAGAACTTAAAAATCTATGTTGAACTGCATTCAGTTCCTTTATTAATCTTAATTGATGATATAGAAGTAGTTAATAAATAGCTATTGAATGTGTTAATAAAAATATCTTTTATTTCACTAAGCCACATTACCGTTCATAATTATATGAATGATATTAACTTTTTTAGTGTCATTTAACTTTTTTAGCATAAGGTGTGTGCTTAAATTTAGGCAATAAACCACCCCTCCCTGGCCCCCTTTTTTTTTATATATATAGGGAGTGTGGATTCTGTATTGACTGTAATAACATAACTTTTTTTTAAATGCTATTTTTTATTTAACAGTTTTTAGTTTATTTTTGTACTGTAAAATAACTTTAAAAAAAGAGTGTTTTCAAGGAAATGCTTTGATAAAAATCATAAAAATAATAAAAATGCTAAAGTGAGTCAGACTAGATAAAAAAGAGATTACTGACGACTGTAAACGTAGACCGACGTGACGAAGTTTTAAGTCTTTGGTTAAAAGAGGAAATTGTCTGATCAAAAGGTGTTAAAGTTGTTATAATAATAGTGCGTATTATATACTGTAAAACATGGTGTATGTAATAATGTTAAGATGTAGGGCTGTTTTGGTCGGAATGCCAAAGGTGACATTGTAAAAGCAAAGAGATAAAAACAAAAATTGTTTTACATTAATACTTAAAAAGTCATGCTCTTTTTTGGGAAAGTTAGATTAATGGGAGTTCATTTATTTTTTAGAAGAATTCAACTTAAAGATGAAATCAAAATACTTTTTTTCAGAACATTGTATTATTTGACTGAGTTCGAGAATGATCAAATATTGAAAAATGATTTAGCATTCCCAATGATTAGATTGTTATAAGATTAATTATGATTAGAAACCATTAAATTGTTATTTGATTAATGTCAAAAGCCCTTGCCAAATAATGCATAAGATGTGGAAAAAACTTTTTATTAAGTAAAAAAAATGGCTTCGACAAATTGTGTTAGTTGTTAAGTAGAATGCTAAAAATATATATAACGGTTTTTGTCGCTAACGGTGATTAATAGGCAAGTAAATTATAAACTATCTAACTTTATATTAAGTTTTTTTTAATGTAATAAATAAGGATGATAACAAAAAGTAAAATAGATTTTGTTTTTAGTTTTTTCTCTAGTTAGTAAGTTAAGCTTTGATATGTTACATCAAAAAATAAGTTTATTCGAATAATTATAGACGGGTCCAACCAGCTAGTATATAAATTATTCAATTGAAACACCACAAAAGTTATTTACAGCTAATCAAACAACATTTCAAAAATCATAACAATTCAAAACAAAAACATTATTTCAAAAAAATAACTGAAAATATCCCTTTTAGTTGCAAACAAAAAATAAACTGCTAAGTTGAATATAAAAATAAGCTGAATTAATATTGTAGAGCAACAATTATAATTTACAAATGCATAACGTACTCCCCAAACACACCCAACAAAGCATGCTAACCACAAGCAATTATTTACAAGTAGAAAACTTTTTTGCAACCACTTACTCAAAATATATACAGGAAACTAAGAAAAAACTCAAAAAATCACCTGATTTAACTTAGTCTTTTCTAAAAAGAGCATCTGCTTACAACATTACTAAAAAAAAATGTTTACTTTGTTTATATGAAAAACTAATAATTTAATATTATAAAAAGAGCTACTTAACAAAAAAATTGAGTTGTCTTCCAAATGTCATCACGAAAACAAATTTCATTAAGACAAGACTAGGTACACGCGCTTCTAACAGTAGTTTTTCTATGTATTGTTTTTTACGTATAGTTTAACTAAACTAGTTCCAACTGCATATATAATTTATTTTTTTTCGAAAAAAATTGTATTTGTATTTTACCTGATGATTGTTAAAGCATAAAGCATAATATATTGCGAAAATTACATAGTTTTGTTTTTTACTATATTATACTTATTACTCACTTTATCGATAACAATTTTGATAGGAACACACAAAACAGCATCACTATATATATATATATATATATATATATATATATATATATATATATATATATATATATATATATATATATATATATATATATATATATATATATATATATATATATATATATACAAAAAACATAACTTACATGAGCTTCCTGAATCAAAGAACAATAACAGCAATACCAGTGTAAACATAAATCTTTACACAAACTGCCCTGTATAATTAAACAGTATTAATATTATTAATCATGAAATTTTTTATAGTAACAAAATTTCAATATATATATATATATATATATATATATATACTTAGTTATACTTTAATTAATATATATTTGTTTTTTTTGCCTAATTATAGACAGAAAATGTACCCTACTAGATTATGAGCCACAGCCACAATTGGTAAAATTAGTAATACAGCTTGTTGATCATAGCTTTAATGTAGAAATTAGTTCTCGTCTATCTAGCAGATTTGGAAGTTGTTTTAAAACATTGCGTTTTAGTTTTTAAGGCTTTCTATATTTATAAGAGCATTTTTAAGTTTATCAGGTACTTTAAAGCTTGTATTTTTAAAAACCTTTTATAAAAAATTGAGTATACGTAAATCAGTGAATAAGCCCACAAAAAAAACTTGCTTTACAAAAACATAGAAAAATAGTTTTTGTAGATAGATCATTGTGTGAGTGTTCATTAATTAGGATTTGAAAAATATAAGAAGCCATGAAAATTAAAACCTATTTGAGATTATAAATGAAAACTTCTATTAAAGAAAAAAACTTTGTTAAACCTGATTTATTATTTTTTTCGCAATGTAATCGAATCTCGCAATGTAATAAAAGTTAGGGAATGTATTTGGCAGAAAAATAAAATTCAAATCTAGAGTATCTCATACTTTCCGGAGGTTCAAAGATTTCCATGGCAGTTATATTTTCAGTAGTCAAGAAATAGGCTACACAAGTAAGAAGTAAAACACTAAATCTTGCATCAAGTAAGTTTCCTTTTAAACGTTATTAGGTAAATTTTTAAGTAAATTATTTTAATGAAAAACTATTTTCTCAAAATATGGTAAATCAATACAAACTAATTTGTTACAAATTAGGCACCTTTTAAAAGGAAAATATATTTTCCAATGATAGCTAAACAGTATGACGGCCGAGATCAGGAAGGACCTTAAACAACGTATTAATACGAACGCACCAACGACCATTTAATCCGTCTTAAGAAATATTTATACAATCAGAGCCTTTGAATTTCAGCTCACTTATAAGATAGCTATTACGAATATTAGTATTGAATTAAGCATTCTAAATATTTTTTCTCATATGTTTCTGAACCATGGAAACTAGTAGAATCAACCAAAGAGACTTGAACCCATTCTGTCTCTTCATTAGTGTGAAATCTGATAGTGATCAAGTGTCTTTAAACGTTGTAATAAACATTTTTGATTCAGATTATTCAGCAAGCTATACTAATTTTAAGTACACTAGCCTCAATAGAGTATTAACTTTAGCCATTGTACGTGGAGTGGACCAATTAAAACAGACCATTTACAACTTAGAAAAATTCATCACGATGAAAGGGTTAAATGAACTGAAAATGTCGCAAATATTAATTTAATCAACTTTATGTTAGGTCGTTCAGTAAATTTATTTTATAAGAAATTATATTACTTATATATAATACTTATATATTTTAAGTTTAAATAAAGTTTGTTAAAAATTTTATTGAACTGTTATTCTTGGGGGCATAGAGGTAAGTTTGCCTGCTGCTAATGTGAAGGACTGAAAGAGGAATCCACTGGCTAGCTAAAAGCATTTTAAAATCTTAATGCTCGGTATCTATAGTATTTTGAAGACGGCAAACAGTTCAAGAACATGCAATTTTTATTTTATTTTTAGCTGTTACCGTGTCAAGTTGACATTTATTTTTGAATTACAATGACAATCAACTTATAGCATCTAATTGATGCAGCGAAAAGGATTTGGATTTGTGTTCTATTCTTTTTATTCATTGTTCTGTCTAATCATTCTCCTTATATTTCTTATTTTATCCATATTATATATTTTATTTAAAAATAACTACTTTTTTTTTAGCTAAAAACATTTTTTTATAAATTTTTTGGGATAATATATGTTTTCACTACCGACGTTTTTTAAGTTTTTTCAAATTAAAATTTTTAAACTTATTAATAATATCCATTAATATAGATAGCAAAAAAAGGAATTGAAAGTCAACGTTTTTTAAAAAATAATAAATTACGAGGATACTCTTTAATGCAATGTTGACATGGATATAACAAACTCATCCCCAGTAAGAAAAAGACGTCAAGCCGTAGTTGTAATTTGGTTGTATTTTGGTCGCGACGCAAGTTAACTAAATTCCAACGATGTTCCAACGTCGGCATAACGGTGTTGTTCTAACGTTTGCTATCAAACGTTGGAACAACGTCGGGAAAACGTTATCATCTAAAGTCTTGAATGTTAACTTTAAAACGACGTTGGAACAACGTTGGTTGTTTAACGTAAAACCAACGTTAGCCTGATTAACGTTGGAACGACTTTGGAACAACGTTGCTTTTTTTACGTTTTTACTATTGACATCAAAGCAACGTCAGCGTAACGTAACACAACTTGATTTTACAAACTTGCGCATTTTAAAAATGGTTGAAAAACCGTTATCGAAAAAAATGTTATTTTAAATCTAATTTTGATTTAATGGTTTTTAGGCATTATATTCTGTGACACTAATAATTAATACATTATTTATTTATATTCTACATTCAAATTAGATATTAAACTTTTATCATATTAATGATAAATAAAAATTACTAAAACTTTATTTGATTTTCAAAAACTGTTGATATTTTTTTAATGTTTTTGTATACTTTGTATATTTAACATTACTTATATAGTAAAAATTTCTAACATATATAATATTTGCACATATTATTTTATTTACGAATAGATGATGCAATGATTTTTTAAATACCCGTTATTAAACTATTTAGAAGTTTAATTAAATGCCAATAAAAATAAAGAGCCTTTTTTTAAGACATTCAATTCAGTTGTCTAAGACAGTTGTATTAAAACAAGGTTTTTACTTAAAATACATAATATATTAAGTATAAATTTATGACAATTAAGTTATATTAAGACATTGTCTTAATCATAATAAATATTTTATTTGTTTGAATGGAAAGTTTTTTAGTTTGTTGTGGAACTAGACTAGAAATTACCTAACAAGCTTCTTATAACTTGCGTAATGTATTTCTTTTACGAATTTGTATATTGGTATAATCATATCATGCTATTCCTACAATATTATAACTAACATTGACTCTCATAAATTTGAGTCTCAAGTCACGAAAAAGGGTAAACAACTTTTTATGTATTTGTATTAAGTTTTATTATATATTTTTTTTATTGTTCACCTCCGGGTTACTACCAGGAACATGGTAAGGATAGAACTCATAACTTCTCACAATGAAGCAAGCGAAAAACAAATCCTACAGAAACAGCAACAGAACATCTAAATTTTACACTAGATCTTAGTCATAATAAACAAAATATTTATTTAAATCAATACACACAAAGTGTTAGATGATATACACTAAGCCAGTATTTAGTTTTCAAAACGAATCTCAATCTCATGTGTCCCTATTTTCTAGAGTTAAAAGAAAGAGCTGATTTTGGCCATAAAGGCCATAAAGGGTGCTGCAGTTGAGAAGGCTCCTTTTTATTTCAACTATGGCTATAACCATCTCTTAACTCAATAACTCTAAAGTATTTCTTTAAAGTACATGCCAAATAAATTTGTGTGTAGTTTTTGTATATGATATGTGGTATGATATAGTTTTTAAAACTGATATGTTATACCAAAAAATATATATGCATATATATATATATATATATATATATATATATATATATATATATATATATATATATATATATATATATATATATATATATATATATCGTCATAGTACTAACATTTACTTATTCTCTTATATTTCTAACCAAAAACCTAATTATTCTTATATTTTAATAAAACTCATGCCAAGTTAAAATATATATTTTTTGAATGTTGTTATTTTTCTTCAATTTTTATGTGCAGAGTTAAAGTACTGCGTTATCAAGGTGTTTAAAATCAGAACAAGTCGACTTATATATACATAATAACATTATTTAATCTTAAACTTAACAATAGAATATTTGAACGAGTTTACACTAAGAATTGGTAACAAAGGTTTTGCTCAACAGGTTGTGAGTTTGATTTCAATATGTTTAACATGATTTAGAGAACAAAACCTGGACAATATGAATAATTCTAATGTTTTAAAATTTTATTTCCGTTACAAAATTTAGTGAATAAAAATGTTTTATATTTATGAGTTTGCCATGATTGCTCTGATTGAATCATGGCAAAATACTTATTCAGTTCTAACTGTTTATTAACTAAGCTTGGGTCTTTAAGGCTTGACCTTGGTGAATGCAGTAAAAAATATTTAAATAAGATGTTATGTGTAAAACACTTCAATGTGCCTTTTTTATATTTTTTTCTTTTTTAGGCCAACTCTCACGTGTTGGAGGAAAGTTACCAAAATATGTTAAGGACTTAATTCAGAGGTAACTTTTGCATTTCTTCATTTATATTTTTATTTGTTCTAGGTATATTCAGAACATTGAAGGGATCATGAATAAATGCAAAGATTTTGTTGATTATTATTTTAATATTACTTTAAATGTGTATACATATTGCATGTATAATACAAATGGCTATAAAAATGGCTATAAAAATAATACAAATGGCTATAAAAATGATATCAATAGAACATTTTGAAGTATTTTTATAATAAAAGTTCATTTCTTAAAAGTTAAAAAATTCTAATTTGAATTATGAAAATTGTCAAAACTTTTATAAAACTTTTGTATTTATAATACTATAAAGTATTTATGTCAAAAGTATTAAAAATAATATTAACAATATATGAATAAATTGTAATAAGTAACTATATATATATATATATATATATATATATATATATATATATATATATATATATATATATATATATATATATATATATATATATATATATATATATATATATATATATATATATATATATATATATATATATATATATATATATATATATATATATGTATGTATACATATATATATATATATATATATATATATATATATATATATATATATATATATATATATATATATATATATATATATATATATATATGTATGTATACATATATATATATATATATATATATATATATATATATATATATATATATATATATATATATATATATATATATATATATATATATATATATATATATATATATATATATATCTTTATACATATATATATATATACATATATATATATATATATATATATATATATATATATATATATATATATATATATATATATATATATATATATATATATATATATATATATATATATATATATATATATATATTAATATACAAGTATATATATTTGTGCATACAGATAAACAAATATAAATGTATGATGATGATATCAAGATCAATTATATTGTGAAAGGCTATTTATTTGATAAACAGTTTATTCGAAAATGATAATTATTGAAGTTTAGTCAGTGATTTTTTCTTAAAGCCTATTCCAAAAGTTTTTATATTTTTGAAAGTGATTCTATGTTATATTTTACTAAACTCTCTATAAAAAGTGCTCATTTAGTAAACCCTTTGATATTTGTCCTGATTTTTAATTTTTGACCTTGATCAATGGCCAGTTAAACATTTAGTTGCACATTTTTTATTATATAATTTGCTTGTTTGAATGCAGCAACATGGGCATAGGAAATAAATGTTACTAAAACACCTAATCATGTGAATACTGAAAAATTATTGTAATTACATTTATCTTGGTTTTCACATCTAGCTATTGATAATAAAAGTATGCTCCATAATGATCACATGTGTATTAACCAATGATGTTTTATATAAACTAGTTGTCTTACTTCAATTCAAAAGGTGAAGCCGCTTTTGTCCTTTTTACAAATGACAGATTAAATTTGTAAACAAATACTATATTTTTTATATATGAAGTAAATATATTTTTATATATGTAATATATTTTAAATCTATATATGTAGTCAGATGTTCTGTTTGTTCAAAATCAGATGGTAAAAAACCATCTGATTTTGTTAAAAACAGAAAGTCTAGATCACAGGTGGAGTTTTAAAAAATAAAAGGCTATACAGTTAATTTCTTTTATAAACTGGTCTGTATTTACTGAAGATACAAATTAAATTAGCAGAATCAATGCATTGGTTATGCATTGATGCTATTAAATTGGTTGGAATGACTGGATTATTAAGGATGTCGATTATTATGGTCCAACATTCATAACATACAATTTACATAACCTTATTCATTTTTTATAGTTTTCTGAATGATTACTTCTTGATATGTCTGCCTTTTTATTTGAAAAATTATTGGCTTTTGGTAAGAAGATGCCACTTGCTCAAATGGTCAAGGGTTATAGTGAAATATAAGTAGTTCAGATTGGAAGAAAAAACACCTAACAAAGTAATCATTAGTCTTAAAGAGAGCTATTTATAAAAACAATTTTTGATTCTTTGCTTAGTGAAAATGCACCATTTCAGTTTCTTTATTTACCATGCAATTCATGTTATAAAAAAATATATTGCCAAAATAACACATGTAAAAAAATAACTTTCCATAAATCTGAATTCATAGATATTTTATATCTTTTGATGGTAAAACTAGACATATTTTTTCCCATTATTTCATGATTGTGTGTTTTAAATTAATTTTGTTTATTTATTCAATTATAACTTTTTAGGAGGCAATTTCATTAGTTTTGCATTTTATTGAGGTATTGTTTATTCTATTTCAAATAATATTGCTAAACGATTTACAGTCGATAATCTTTCGAAAGCAGAAAAACTCAGGTTAGCATCAAATAGAAAGTTAGCGCAATTTCTGGTATTTGTGGTATTTGTATTTGTTTATTCCGATTGTTTTTTATTTAGTTCTTAAAAATGCTTTTAATTGGATTTGTTTGTAACTTTATGTTTCTTCATATATATTTGTCTTTTAGTGTCAAACAAAGAAATACGCGAATTATTTGAGATATGATTGAAATTTGCAAAGAAAGTAAAAATCAAACTAGTTTCATTCTAAGTTATTGTATATAATTTTAAAATTTTGGAATAGAAGTGATGCAATGTTTATTTATTTTTAGTCTTTTAATTTCCGTATTCAATTATTTGCCCGGAATAATATAATAAACGTGTATAACCTAAATAAATAAGAAGAAATATAGAATGACAGCGCAAAGTTATACAGCGTAAAATTGTCCTTTATTGTTTTTTGTAGTGTAGAAATAACATCAAAAATGATAAAAAAACGTTGGAGGGCGTTTTTCTTACAACGTTTCGCAACATTGTTAATATAACGTTGACCTATGTTTTCATATATGCCATTATTCCAACGTGTAAAAAACGATAGAAAAGACGCAGGCTTAACGTCATTTTAGCTAAAATATAACAATAGCCTTACGTCCTTATATCGTCTTTTTTCTTCAAGTTTAACGTTGCTGTAACGTCTTTCCGACATCATTTAGCTAAAATGTAACGTTTTCACCACGTCATTTTACATCGTTGTAATAACGTTAGTAAAATGTCGTTTTTTCGGTGTTTCATTTATAACATCATGCCAACGTCTTTCCAACGATATAAAAGACGTTAGAGCAACGTTGCTCCGACGTCATTTTTCTTATTGGGTCAGAACATTGTTTGAAACTTTTTGTGTTCAAACTTAAAATGTATTTTAGCTAAATGATCAGTCTAAAATTTGAAATCTTGGCAATGAAAATACGAGTTTAGTATTGCATGACAAACGTGTATAAACAAAGTGATATCAAACTACAACCCGATCATAAAGATTTATCGAATTATAAACTAATTTATTAAACTTTACCGGAATTCCGAACTTCTTTCTAATTTTTTCTCGTATCATTGCACGAATAAACACCCCAATACATGATGTGCCAAGGCAACCGTAAATTAAGCAGTTATCCCCAACTTGTTCTGCATTTTTACCAACTATTATTGCTGGTGCACAGTACGCAATAACAGTTATACCAAAGTCATTACAGCAGATGCAAAAACCATTTTTAAACCCTGGCATTTCAAATAACAGCTTCTAAAGTATCCACACAACTATATACTCAATGTAAGTTCTGTTTAATGGGAATTTCTTTAACATATAGAACAAAGACAAAAATAAAATATTGATTTAAACCATTTAATAAATTAGTATTAATGAACAATAAGTTTTAGTTTCTTCAAATATATCTGCTGTATTATGCCTCCAAATTGGATTTTTTAAAAACAATTTATAAATTACAAAAGAATGCTTAAAATAAATTCTTTCTGTTAAAAAACAAATGATATAAAACATGCAAAGATTACATTCTATTATTTATTAATAGAAAACTATAAAACCGCATGACTCACACATTAAAAATAAACATTATTATCAGTAATTATAAAGACTCAAAATATGTTTATAGTAATCCAAACAAAAAAGTTTAGAATAATTCTTACTATGATATTTAAAATTTTAATTAAACAATTTGAAAATGTTTTAAACTTTTTGCTGCATTTCATTACTACTAATTTTTAGTTTTTAATAAAGTTCTCATCAACGATAGATATAATTTAAAAAAAAATTAGAGACTACAAAATTATTAAAAACCTTATTAAATTGGGTTAGATATCATTCTAAAATTAGTTTAAATGTAAAACTACTCAAATTCTTTGTAATAAAACATTTTTATTCATTTCAAAATTTAAAAAAATCAAGTCTTAATTTACCAATTCAAATTCAATTCAAATCAAATTAAAAAAATTAAAATACAACATTTGCATTCTTGTTTTTTTTTTATATGAAGTAAAGCTTTTACATTTATTGTTTTAATACTTTTGTTATTGAATAAATCATCGATGAATTAAAAACAAATATTGTCGAGGTGATTATAAACTTTTTCTTCATATTTTAAGAAAACTAAAAAAAACTGAATAACTTTTATTCATTCTTCCCTTTATATCACAATTAAGTAATTGATAAAATATATTGTGAACGGACCTAATTTGTTAAATGTAAGTGTAAATACTATAATCTGCTTTCACATTTTGGGACGAACTTTTATAATATCTTATGTACTCCAATTTAAGTGATGAACTATTCATATGTATTTTAAATTTCGAAAACGCTTTTTTTATGGGCAAATAGTATTTGGAGTTAAACAATTAATAAATGTTCGCAGCATCAAAAAAAATGATGCTCGACCTTTAACCTTTTTTCTAATTTTTAACTTATTGTGTTATATATGATCAATAAGTAATTTATGTGATATATGTACTCTAATTAAATTTTTTTGAAATGCAAATTATTTGTTATATTATATCGTATTGCTTAAACAGCGGAGTTTTTTTTTGAAATAATCTGAAATATATTTTTACTATTTGTAATCCCTTTCCAGGAATGTAAATACATCAACTTACTTCGACTATATCTGCAGGCTATTTTAAGTCACTCTTGTTAGCTGAATTCTTGATTTGTTTATGTAGTAACCATTATTAAAAAAAAAAGGAAAACAAACAAAATGAACTAGAGTAAATTTGAATAAGCAATAGCGAAGCAAAAATTTAATGCGGACTGAAAAGCGGTTGCCATTCATGGAGTTTGCCAATGTTTAACCAGTAATGGTACCAATAATGGGCCATGCAATGGATTAAATATTCGAAGTTTGTGATATATGTTTATATACATATATATATATATATATATATATATATATATATATATATATATATATATATATATATATATATATATATATATATATATATATATATATATATATATATATATATATATATATATATATATATATATATATATATATATATATTTATATATATATATATATATATATATAAATATATATATATATATATATATATATATATATATATATATATATATATATATATATATATATATATATATATATATATATATATATATATATATATATATATATATATATATATATGTGTATATGTATTATATATATGTGATATATATATATATATATATATATATTATTATTATTATTGTTATTATTATTATTATTATTATTATTAAATGCTGTAACTGGTATGAACCAGTCAGTGTGTTATTAGCACACTATAACAGCTAATTTGCCTGACTGATGCTCGTCTAGCAATTAAGGCCGGCTTTAAAACTGGTAACTGTTTCTGAATTAACTAAATCGTTCGGCAAGCTATTACATAAATTGGCTGATCTGTTAAAGAAAAAGTTTTCTCGATGAGCTTGCTTAGTTATTTCTTTTACATATTTAAACCGGTGACCTCTTGTTTGATTTTGTTGAAAATTAAACAATCTTTTTGTTTCTAACTTGTTGAAATCGTTAAAATCTTAAAAAGTCATGTTTCCTCTCTTTCTTCTGTTTGTTAACGAAGTTAAGTCAAGAGCTTTTAGAAGATTCTCATAGTTGACTTTCTTGAGTGATTGTATAAGTAAAGTTGAACGATTTTGAACTCTTTCCATACAGTCAATTTCGCCCTTTTGATTTGGTGACCAAACGGGTACTGCAAATTCTAATTGTAGCCTAATAAAAGATATATAATGTGATCTCAGCAGTCTATTATCTAAACGAACAAAGTATTTTCTAATCATACCCAATATTTGACCAGCTTTGCCTACGCATGGTATCACTTGAATTTTCCATTTTAGGTTGTTTGAAAAAATTACTCTTAAATTTCTTTCAGATTCTGTTACGTTTAATTTTTGTTTATTGTAATAAAGTGGTGTTTTTCTGTTATTAATCCCATAGTGCATGACCATGCATTTAGAAATATTGAACTTTACAAGTCACTCTTGAGTCCACTTAAAAGCTCTATCAAGGTCTGCTTGCAAAGACACTCATGATTCGAAGGAAACCATTTCATTAATTATTTTAGCGTCATCAGCGTACAGCGTAGATACGTTTTTAAAGGTTTCAAGAAAATCGCTTATAAATAGCACAAACAAAAGTGTTCCAATTACTGACCCCTGCGGCACACCACTGATAACTTCTGCCCAAGAAGATACGTTTTTGTCTAGCACAACTCTTTGTTTTCTATTTTTCAGGAACGCTTCAATCCATTTAATTGTTAAACCAGATATTCCATACGCTGTTAGTTTTAGTAATAGCCTTTTATGGGGCACTGTGTCAAATGCCCTAACAATATCCAAAAAAACAACATCAATAGGTTTACCATTTTCTAAACTGGTGAAAATAAAATCTAGTGTATTAAGTAGATTTGTTGTATATAGATAGATAGATAGATAAAATGTTTGTTTGATCAAAAAATGTCATATGTACAAATTGTATAGCAGATTTGTGGTTCAGTTCGGGCGTTGCATAAAACGCCAAGGCGACTAACACAGTTTGGGACGTAAGAAAAAGGCAAGCAAAGTGAAAGACCACGTAAAACTACACCTCGTCTAGATCGTGTATCCGCAAAAGCCGTTTAAAACGACCCTCGAGTTGCAGCTATCGCTATCAAGATAAATAACCCTGACCTACAAAATATAATAGCAAGAACTATACAAAGGAGATTAAATGTAATTTGATATAGAGCATACGCACTTTTTAGTTTTCAAAATTACATAAGAAGGCATCCTAGACAACTCTAAAACTTTCTGTACACTGTTCTTACTGTGAAACAATGTGAAAAGAATATAGTGCAGGGTGCAGTTTCCAGTTTTGAGCCGCACAACTTAGTAAAGTTACTATTTCTTTAAATGTGCGATGTTTAATGTTTCACTTAAAAATATTTTGTTGTTTGGTTTAAATGAAAAACTATTTGTAGCATTGTTTGCATGTTTATGAACGATAATCTCACAATCAGTCGGCGTACTCATACTCTAGGCCTCGAATGTACATACAGACATACATACGTACATACATACATACATACATACATACATACATACATACATACATACATACATACATACATACATACATACATACATACATACATACATACATACATACATACATACATACATACATACATACATACATACATACATACATACATACATACATACATACATACATACATACATACATACATACATATATACATACATACATACATATATACATATTTTTATACATATATACATACATACATATACATCATACATATATAAAAAGCAATCACTATTAAGACAAATAATCCTGACCTACAAAATAAATTAGCATGAAAGGAGATTACTTGCAATTGGATATAGGACATACAGGTCTGCAAAAAATTTCAAGCTTTTAAATAAGAACGAAAAAAACAGAATTTTGTTTTGCAAAAAATTAATGCTTGGACCGCACAGGTATGGGAACAAGTAATATTTAGAGTAATATTTAATAACAACTTTTCGCAATTTTCAAGTTTTCAAAATTACATGAGAAAAAACAAGACAAAACAAGACCATATATATTATCAGGACAACCAATTCTCTTTGTATGAAATAATAAATAATGTAAAAGATGCACATTATGATTTAAATTATTCTTTCCATACAAGGTGTTGTGACCAAACAAAAACAAATAATTATTTTGAAACTTGCAACAATGTTAAAAGACGTTTTTGTCTTTCTACATTATTGAAATATTTAGAAGGGCATGTATATTCTTTATATGCTTTCGAGCAGTTATTATTATTATTTTTTTAAAAAGCACTATATCTAAAAGCTTAAGTTAAGGTGTTGTTTTATTGTTGTTAAGGTTCTAGTTTATTATTATTATTATTATTATTATTATTATTATTATGGTATTACCTTATAAACATAAGATACCATAGAAATATTATAAAATAAAATAAAATTGTAATATAAAAATGTTGTTATGATTGTATTAATTTTACCATTGCTATGATTTTTTTAGAAATGTAGTTAAGATAATAGTTATATTTGCACCTTACTTTATTATAATCTTTCTCCTTTGTCTGTATAATACGAATTTGTAAAATACTATTACGAAATTGTAATAAACTAATAGGAAAATTTATTTGATAATCTGAAGCTATTTAAACCTTTGTAGGACAAAAGAAAATGGCTCCATTTAACGATTGTTTAAATTGATTTGAAGTCAAATTCTTGTTAAACCAAACTTTGGCTGATTTGAAATATAAGTTCGAGTTAAGGCAATTTTTTTTTATTCAATGCTAAATAGCAACGGATTTAGAAGAGGATGAGGGTTCATATTCACCCTCACACCAGAAGCTGAAAGTCCTAAAATATCTAATACTGAGGTCCTTTTTAAGAGACATTAATTTGATACTATTATATTTCAACTCCCACCGTCCGCTGAACGAATATTTTCTTGATCTATCTCTCTCTCTCTCTCTCTCTCTCTCTCTCTCTCTATATATATATATATATATATATATATATATATATATATATATATATATATATATATATATATATATATATATATATATATATATATATATATATTTACTTATTTATATATAGTTATATATAGATACACACGTTATGCAGGAATGTATGTTAATCTGTAACTATGAAAGCATGAAGTGACAGTAGTTGTTTTTGTGTGCAATATTAATCTTTTTCTATTGATCTTAAAAGATTAAAAGTTCAAAAAGTGTGAAACAGCAACTTGCAAAAGTATGCGAAATCTTTTAAATTGCTAGATTAAATGTTAAGTAGTATAAAGTATTGTCAGCTGCCTGAAAAAATCACTTTGTTTGTCTCAAGTTATCATTTTTTAACATTTTAGTTGTTTCTAATATTATCAATTAAAGATAGAAATGACAGGTTTTAAACACAGTATTTGCAGTTGCTGTAATGATATCGGCCTTACTTTGATTGCATGTTGTGCACCATCTATAATTGCTGGTAAAAATGCTGAACATGTAGGAGACAACTGTCTCATTTACGGATGTATAGCAGGAACAGTACTTGGAGTGTATCTACGAGCAATGACGAGGGAAAAGATAAGAAAGAAGTACTTAATACAGGTAACTTTTTCAAATCATTCAGCAACGTACGGTTTGACAGTGCCTATTATTGGCGTCATAACAAAGCAGTTTAGTGAAGAAGTCTAAGTCACAAAATAACAGCAACGAAGCAACGTAATTTATTACGTTGTATAACGTAAATAAATGATAGACTGCCTGCCCAAACCAAACCCTCAGTCTTTGTAGCAGCACTCCCTTGCGAGTCAGGCTTATTGTCAGTCGATATAGCAGCACTCCCTTGCGAGTCAGGGTATTTGTCAGTCGATGTAGCAGCACTTCGTTGCGAGTCAGGCTATAAGATAGTCGATGTAGAAACACTCCCTTGTAGCAGCAGGCTATAAGAGAGTCGATGTAGCAACATTTACGCATGTTTTAAAAATGTTTTTCAATAAAACAAAAACAAAAACACCACTACTTTCTAGTCGTTATTATTGCGGTTATTTTTTTTTATTTTTTAAAAAACAATAAAATTTAATGTACTTCCGCATTAATTAAATTGCTTTGACATTTCGACGACAATCAAATACAGCTTAAGAGACGAGGTAATTAAAATTGTAGTCGAAAGAGACTTTTTTTTACATTAAAAGACTCTTTCGACTACACTATAAGGATATATATATATATATATATATATATATATATATATAAATATATATATATATATATATATATATATATATATATATATATATATATATATATATATATATATATATATATATATATAAAACCCTTTTGAGATTTAAATATATATATATATATATATATATATATATATATATATATATATATATATATATATATATATATATATATATATATATATATATATATATATATATATATTTAAATCTCAAAATTTTTTTGATTTTGAAAGTAGTGTCAAATAAGTTTTAGAGAAAGTATTCCATATGTACATTCTGAAACTATCAAAAGTTAAATTATTTTTTGTCAGCTTTTTGAGAAAACTAATTTATAAGACTTGTATTATTATTAAATCTGAAAATTATTAAATGTATTATACTTGATGAATTTGAGATTTAATAAAAACTATTAAAGGATCATTTTAAGATTTTTTCTGAATGTGGTGGGGAGATAATGCCTACGTGAAAAAATAGCTATTTAGCTGGGCGATGCTTACTTTTTATGGTCTTTACGTTCCTGGGTTTTAATTTGCTTGATGTTTTGGCATAAATTCATTAGTTACATAAATATGAACATACAAAAATTAGATTTTTTAACTTACTCAAAAGTATTTTTTAACTTACCTGAACTTTTGTTTAAATAATTAAAGAGTAAATTTACTATATAATTCTTTAAATAGCAAAGCTAGGGTAAATTAAAAAAATCTCTTGGGTTTCAAAAAAAATCAAAGCGTAAATAACTTTTTTTTTTTTTGTATAAAAAAAGTAAAACATATAGTTTCAATAGGTGACTTAGTCACGAAAATATTCTTTTTGCGCTTATAAAATTTTAATAAAGCCACAAGCAAAAAAATATATATAATGATATGGTCAAAGTACCATTATATCAAATGAGATGTAAAAAAAATTGTATTATCTACTATTGTGTTTAATTTTAAAAAAATTTAAAAAAATTAAAAAAAAAATTTAAAAAAAAAAATTAAATACTTATTTAAAAACTTATTTTAAATTTATTAAAAAATTAAATACTAAATTTTTAATAAGTATTATTAAATGGCACCTTCTAACATCGTGTGCAATCCTGTATGCTATCTTTCTAACACGACTTCTTCTGTCTTATACTCTAACATTCTTCGTTCTTCCTAAACTCACTTTACTCTTGGTCCGTAGAGCGGGTTATGACGCTTCTCGGGAGCCGAACTTGTCTTTGCGGGCCTTGGTAATGTGGCCCCTATATAGCAATTGTCCGAAGGAGGATAAACCACAATACCTACTATTGTGTTTAATAACTATAACTTGCAATAACAACATTCTTTAGTCATTGTGTTTTTAATCCCAATGTCAACTTATTGCACCTCCTAACATCGAGTGCAATCCTGTCCGGTTTCTCTATGCTGTCTTTCTAACACGACTACTTCTGTCTTTCACTCTAACATATCTTCGTTCTTCCTAAACTCACTTTACTCTCGGTCCGTAGAGCGGGTTATGACGCTCCTTGGGGAGCCGAACCTGTCTTTGCGGTACCGTGGTAATGTGGCTCCTATATGGCAACTAGCCGGAGGAGGATAAACCACAATACCACTATTGTGTTTAGTTTAGAGAAACAAAAACTCTCCAAACAAAATGTTTCAGAAATCAATAATAAAAGCGGCGAAACAATTACTAAGCCGGACAAGATTATCTTGGAATTTAATATTTTTTATGAAAAACTCTATAAAATGAAAATAAATAATAGCGAATCTCAAGAATTTTTATTAAACAATACTAAAATTAAAAAAGTGACAGCGCGCAAAAATTCCTTTTTGACAAAAAAGTTTTTAAAGTCAGAAATTAAAGCAACTTTGTCTCAAATGAAAAATAATAAATCGCCTGGGTCAGATGGTCTCACAGTAGAATATTACAAAAAAAATTTTGACTTAATAAGTAAAGATCTAACAGCAACACTAAATAACGCGTTGAGCACAGGCGAATTGACTTCCTCACAAAAAGAAGCATTATTTACATGTATATTTAAAAAAGGAGACAAAAATGACATAAGAATTTAGAGACCAGTATTACTGACTAACGTAGATTATAAAATACTAACTAAAACAATTACTAACAGATTGGTAAATATATTACCAAATATAATAAATAGCAATCAAACAGCGTGCATTAAAAATAGAACTATGAACAACAACTTAAGTTATACTAGGGACATAATAAGCATTGCTAATACAGAAAATTTAGATGCATGCATTCTCTCCATAGATCAGGTAAAAGCTTTCGACCGAGTTGACAGATGTTTTTTATTTAAAAGTCTTGGACATTTTTGTTTTGATAAGATTTTTGTAAATCAGATAAAAACAATTTATAATAAAATAAACGCAAAAATAATAATAAACGAAGATTTTTCGCAAGTTATAGAAATTTTTAGAGGAGTAAGGCAAGGTTGCCCCTTATCCATGATTTTACACATCATACAAGCAGAAATATTTTCAACATATATAAGACAAAACAAAAACATAAAAGGAATAACTATAGGCAAAAAAGAAACAAAAATACAACAATATGCCGACGATACTAATTTTATTTATGCGGTGATAATTCTATTATAAATGTAGGCAAAGCCCTAAACCTTAATTACAGAGCGACAAGTACTAAAATTAATTTAGCAAAATGTCAAGGCATATGGTTGGGAAAAAATAGATTCGCAGAAAAGAAACAGTTTCTAGACTTTACCTGGGACAAAAAATCATTCAAAAGCCTCGGTGTACTTTTTTGCAACACAGGAAAGTTCACTTACGAAATGAATTGGAAAGAACCCTTTATTAAAATGGAAAGCACTTTAAAGAAATGGGAAAAACATAAATTATCCCTTAAAGGCAAAAAACTAATAGTTAATACAATAGTGATCCCTCAAGTTGTACACTTGGTTTTTATTGTTCCCATTTCCCATAAAAACATTATATTAAGAATGGAGGCTAAAATAAACAACATTATCTAGGGGGATATAGATTTAAGACTAAGTAAGGAAAAAACACAACAGAAAATAAAAAATGGGGGTCTTGGAGTGGTTAACCTTACAAGCAAACTCAAAGCAATACAATTGCATTGGGTTTCGAAAGTTCATAATGAAAACTTAGAAGGCCCGTGGAAAGAAGCCATGATCCACATACTCAATTCTTAAAGAAAATTAAATCTAAATAACTTCATTTTTGAAACAACTCCAACCCAAATTAAGGTACTCCTGCCTTTTTACAGACAACTATTATTAAATTTTTGTAAAATTAAACAAGGTAACAGGGTGCCTGTAAATGAAATAGAGGAAATACTTAGTCAGCCACTTTTTTTTTAATTACAACATTAAAAATAATGAAAATAAATGTTTGACCCCAGAAAAGGTGCACATTAAAAATTGTATTGTACTTGTAGCGGACATAGCTAAAACTTTTCAGCCTAGATTTTTAAATCCTTTATCAATTGGTTTGACTGAGATTGAAATGAACAATATTATAATAGCACTCCCAAAAATTGGATAAAGAAAATATTAAACGAAGGACAAAAATATGATTTTAAAAAAGCGTCTTTTTATGTATTGAAGAAAAAAGAAAAGTATGAGTACAAAAGACTCACAGTCGCAGCACTTTATAAAATTCAAAACAAACCGAAAAAAATGATGACTTATAAGTATAATCTCTGGGCATCTATTGGATGCCAAAGTATGCAAACGATCAGTGAAAACGAATGGAAATCTTTTTTCCTAAATATTAACAAAAGAAACACAAATAATAAAGCAAATAAAATATTTTGTATAATTGCGCATTTTCGATTACCAACTAATGAAAATAGTCATATTAGAAAATTTAGAAATGACAAAATACGTCCGCAGTGCAAAACTGAAGACGAAACCATATATCATATGATGTATAAATGCGAAAAGATGGAGCCTCTAGTTTTGTTTTTGTTAGATGTTTTGGATCAAATTTATCCAACGGAATATCCTTATTTTAATACTTTGAAGTTTATTTTGTTTAAATACGGGGCCAACGCGGGCAACAAAGAGTTTAGCTATATTTTATTAGAAACTCTTGTGTTAGAAATATATTTTAAGAAAATGAAAAGTTTTTTTGAGAAAAAATGTTTTAGTGTAAAGTTTTTACTTAAAAAATTTGAATATAAAGTTAAACGCCTGCTTGCAAACGACAGGTTATTATTAATTAATCAAAATGAACAAAACAAATATAAAGAAGAATTAAGAAATATTTTTAAAAAAGGAGTTTTAAACCTAGTCGCTGATATAAAAAACTATTTTATATAATTTTTTTTCTTTTTTTAATTTTTAGTTTTATTTTGATTTGTTTTTTCTCCCAGAGC